GAACACTGAATTGGAACTGCCATATTTTACACGCTTTTTTCTTATTACCACTTACTACATCATTCTGTTACATCAATTTTGTTGATATTTATATTAACTTTCATCGATGTTTTGTTGACACTAGTATTTTATAATATCTTCAAGTTCATATTTCTCTTTCCCCCCCAGCACTCCCATGTACACAATGTGGGTGTCTGCCATTGTAGAGAGAATAACTTAGAGCCGTGCTTCTCGAACTAGGTTGGAGGAGCAAATTTTCTGATGTAGTGTTTTTGTCTGCAATCTGCTGTGGGTCAATTCTATTGAATAGAGAAGAAAAGGAATCACTGGCAAAATGGAATTAATAAAACAGGCATATAGACATAAGGCACATTTTAGTATTAAATTCAGTTATATTGTTCTGTCAAATGGCTATACATTTTTTTAAATTCTTACTCTCAATGTTTTCATTTATCACATTATAGATCAGTAATAGTTCATGGATTGACACTGGTCCATGGTTCAAAAGTTGAGTACCATTCAGGTTAACCTAAAAACTATGGTGATTTCCCACAGTATGGACAGACATTGAGTTAAAAGGATCCTACTTCATATAGTGGCTACAGAAGTAAATAATATCTTTTATTTATATGGCATGTTTTTACTTCCTAAAGTGTTTTCATGTTCATGCTCTCATTTATCTTCAGGACAGAGTATGTGGTAGGTAGACAAAAACATATTATTAGCAAGAAGCCAACTTACCTTCATTATAAAAACACATTTAAGTGCACATGTTTTAGCCTACTATTTCTAGTATTACATGGTAAAAATCTGGATGGATTACATGGCGCTGTGCAAACCAAACAGTGATCTGAGTTGCTGACCTGTTTACTCAATTCCAGAAGCATTTACTGAGTGCCCGTATGAGCTGTGCACTGTGCCTGGCCTCATGAACCCGTGAGATGAAGAGGTGTTGCTTCATTCTGACAGGGCAGGTGAAGCACACAGTCAATCAGCTTAGTGCAAGACACAGTGTGATAGAGGTGTGAAATGTGCATGAAACCAAGGGCTGCAAAAGTTAAGAAGTATTTCATTTCGGCTGGAGAAAGTAGTGTTTGGGTTGATGTGGAGCAGCTTTTGAAATGCTGAAAGCAGTTTGCCATGAGGAGGTAGAGTAACACTAGGAAAGTCACAGAAGTGCTAAGGAGTCTGGGTCCCTTTTCTGTTCCAAAAGCATGACGCAATGCTGAGTGGAGACTTTCTGCTTTCATCCCTGCCCACCCTGACTTAACACTCAATCATAATCCCCAGAAAATAATCTTGAGCATATAAAAGTTAGCAAAAATAGATATTGCAAAAGATTTGATGGGGAAACAAAAAAAATTACATTACACAGTACACAACAAACCATAACAATAAGTCCTGATTAAATATGTATGTCCTTTCAGCCCTGGCTGGCATAGCTCAGTGGATTGAGCGCGGGCTGGGAACCAAAGTGTCCCAGGTTCGATTCCCAGCTAGGGTACATTCCTGGGTTGCAGGCCATAACCCCCAGCAACCACACATTGATGTTTCTCTCTCTCTCTCTCTCCCTCTCTCTTTCTCTCTCTCTCTCCCCCTCTCCCTTCCCTCCCTAAAAATAAATAAATAAAATCTTTAAAAAAATATTTTATAAAAAAAAAAAAATATGTATGTCCTTTCCAATGAGTCGTCAAGTTTCTTGCTGGACAATTCATCTCTCTCTTAACGTTTCCTTCTCTCAGAGCAGTTTAAAATCTCTTTGTGTAATCTTACATTTCCATATTCCTCATCCAATTCAGTAAACATGGACTCTAGTTAATATCACCTTCCTTAGAATCTATATAAGGAAGGCATAAATAACATTCAGATCTCCTTCTCTTTCTCTCATCTGACTAGAGACACACAGACATATTTGTTAGAGGATGGTTGGCACTGAAACAGTCATGTAGTGTAAGGGGTGGGCAAGCAGAGGCAGCTGCTTGAGAGGGGAGAAGCAAAGAGAGAAACAAGGATGAGGGAGGGCACATGGCCTCAGAAAGCTAGCAAGACCATCAGACCCACTTGCAGCTCCAGATCTACCTGGACTCTTTCTTAGATACCTGCACAATGGCCCACCACAGCCTTACAAACATCTTTTTTTTAAATTGAATTCAGCTTTAATGAGTTTTCATTGTAAAGACACACTTACCTCCTATCTGGTTGTGAAGGAAAAGGAAAACAATAATGATATAAACCATCTTCAGATATGCTAAAGCAACAAATCATATAACAGAGATCACTCATTAACTGTCTCCGGAATAATCCAGGCTCACATTTCTCTCCCTAGCCTTAATGAAGCAGAGGCTGGGCACATATAAATTTAAGTTGCAAATCATTTATTCTTGGAAGTTAAATACCCCAAAATGAAACTGATGAAGGAAGGAGAAATACTCAGGAAAATAATGGCACTGGTGTGGTGGATGTATATACTGCTTTGCAGCTCCCCACAATTCCCCCATTTTACGAAACAGAATGGTGAAGAAAACTTAAGAATGTAACAGATATACTAATTCAGATGAGAATTTAGAAGTAAAGTAAGAGATTATTTTCTTCTCAAATAAAGCAGAAATATAAAGCTGATAGTAATAAGATGGAACCACAGAATCTTAACCCTGTAAATGGCTTTGCCTATTTCTCTGTGAACTCCGCATTGAGATTCTTTCCATCAGCCACACTCTTACATTGTCCGTATGGTCACCTTGGGCCTTGAAGGACGTCAGTAAATACAGCACCCTCAGGAAAGCATGAGAGCGCATAGACATACCGCCAAGAGAAGAGATAAAGTCACCAGCATGGGACGGAACAGACTCTAGGTTTCAGAACATTGAATTTTATGATTAAAAAGGTCCGGTTGCTAATAAAATTCAGTGATTATGACATGATTTCCCCAACCATATTTAAGGTAACACCAAGGTTATCCAAATCAAGTATTTTAGTGAATTCACAAAGACCGGAAGGCATTTCTAGATTTCCTAGCTGTAAGAGTTCTAAAATAAAACTATCACACTCAGCTCAACAGAACAGTATAGCAAAAACACTTACTGCTGGTGACATTCCAGAGAACAGTTAACATTACTTTATGGCCTTTGGTAACGAGAGTGGACAGCAGTGTAACAATACATAATAAGGTGAGTTTAGTTTTATGTCCTGAGAACAATCTGCTTTACTTTTATGGTTCAATTCTTTAAACTGTTTCTGTTTTAAGTAATTACAAATGATAGCTGGTAAGTGACAGTTATAACCACTGTAGCAAATAGGCTTTGTTGTAGCATTGTAGTCTACCCCTGAGAACTATTTCTTAGCCTTCTGGAGAGTTTAGTGTGAGGATGCCACATGAAACAAGTGCTTTCTGACTAACGCTAGACTTGTAAGGATCTCCCTGGAGCAAGACCAGCTCAAGTCTGCATCTGGTGGTGCTTTCCTCAGGGTAGTACACCTGACACTTGTGACGCTTGACTTGCTATTAGGAGATACAAGAAAAAATGTATTTTGTTTTAACGGTTACATTTTAATTTGGAAATTATTAAAATAAGTATAAAAACACATTGAACTGATGATCTCATGGATGCTATTGCCTTAGACGAGTTTGTTAAAAAGCTCGCATAAAGAAAAATATTAAATACTGAGGGGTATGTGGTAGAAAAGGCAAAACCTTTGATGTTGGAGTTTGCATGACTGTGTACCTAGCCTTCCAAATGACTCCAGTGGTTCTCAGCTCCTGATGCCTGTGCCCTTGTAAAATCCCCCTGCCACACACACACCAAATAGGACTGATGTGCAACCAGTAGGCTCTTGTAACCAATAGGATATTGTGGAAATGAAAGAGGTGTGGCTTCCAAAGTTAGAGCAAGCCATTGAAGCTTCACTTTGACCTTTGATCATTGGTTCTGAGGGGAGTCAACTGCCCTGCCATGAAATGTAGCCCTATGGAGAGTCCCCTTTGCTGAATAACTGAGGCCTCCTGCTAACGGCCAGCAGAGAACCAAGGCTCCTTGTCTACAGCCAGGTGAGTGAGCTGACATCTTGGCTGCAACCTCACAGGACATCTGGAGCCAGAACCATCTCTGCTAGCCACTCTTGAATTTCTGACCCACAGAAACTGTGTCAGATAAAACACGCTTATTGTTACGATGCTAAATTTGGGGGTCATTTGTTAAGTGGCAATATGTAACTAATAACAGATAAAAAGCACCATGACCAAGACTGGAAACCAGTGGCACAGAATCCCATTTACCATTCTTCATACGCAGCTCTGTTTTTCTCCTCTTTCCTGAAATTCCTGTTACACAGAGCCCAACCGAGATCTAACCCAGTGTACCTGCTGCTGCTACTTCCTGCTGAGCCTGCACATGACACCTTCTATCTGACAGTGTTCACTATCACTCATGCCTCTGACAACGAGAGGGTTGTAGGCTTTTCGTGGATGTACACTGTGTAGCCAAGAGAAATACAGAGCCTGCCGGCATCAGTCCAAGAGATGTGATCTGAAGTTCTGAATCCCCAATGTTAAATGACTTGACATTTTTCTTGTTCTCTTTCTGCTTCTGAAAGGATCTCAAAGCAGATCCTCATATGTGATTTTATAGTTTTCCTGGGCCTCTAACTGGGTCCATTGTAAATTCAGAGTTATTGTTACAGTTGTTACTTAATGGTATTTTTTAAACCCTTATCTGAAGACATGCTTATTGATTTTACAGAGGGGGTAAGGGAGGGAGAGACAGGGAGAGAAGCATTGACCAGCCGCCTCTTGCACACACCCTGATCAGAGACAGAACCAGCAACCTTCTGGTCTACAGGACTACACTCCAACCAACTGAGCCATACTGCCCAGGCCTCAATGCTATTTTTATAACAACTTAAAAATATACATTAAATGTTTTCTTATTAATTAGCTTTCTCCTTCTGTCAGCAGAAGCCAGATGCTATAACAAGTTCCCTGACACATTGGTCCCGGTTCTTACCTTCACTCAGAAGACTTGTTGAGAAGGTTCTCATGATGCTGTTGTGTCCTTGGATTAGGGGGCAAAGAGCTAGTGAAAAAAGAGGGGACAGAGTAAGAGGAATTCAGCCCCTTTTCTATATTTACTCACATATTCTCACTGACCTTTTTACTTCCCAATTATTTCCTCATCGTCAACGGAAGTTTCTTATTAGGTTTTGCATTTGTATGTTGAAAATTAGTTTGGTATCCACTGTGTTCTGCTGTGTCAGTATTTCCTTAATTACACCCCACTGCTGGCTGTCTCCCAGATGACTGCTAAAATTATATGCCATGGGATTTAACTACAGACCAGACACAGTGTTTTTTAATCTTCACTAGAATTCCTTCCAAATAGCTAAGGAGCTAATCATCCCAGCTCTACTTTCCTTTGTCTCTAGTCAGGGCCTTTTCAAGTACTTCTCTTTCAACAGAAGTTGTTTTACCTTTTAAAATTTCCAGCTGCTTTTGGTTCATGGTTTTGGGGGAAAGGAACCGGGCCTGCATTGCTCCATAATCCCATCAGAAGAGTCTCCAGGAGCCAGTCTCACTAATACTTGGCAGGATGTTCTGACCTATAGACACATTACTTGCCACATAGGTGCACTGAAACACGATTTTGTGGATATCTAATTCCCACACTATCATTTCTTGGTTCCAGCTCAGGAATCATATTTTCAGTGCCCACTTTGCAAACTAGACAGAAGCAAACCTTGGCAGAGATGTAAATTAAATACACCAAGAAGGCTAACTTCTAGTTCTGGTTCTAAATCTCTAACCATGATCTGGGTGAGTCTCATCTCTTTCCAGGTGCCAGTCATTTCGTTTGTAAAACAGTAAGGTTCCAGCAAATGATTCAAGATCACTCCCAGCTCTACAGACCTACAGCCTCTGGAACAGGGATGGCAGCTTAAGACACCCTCCACGCTTCCTATGGAATCATGTTCTCTCAGCCACTTCGCCTTGTTCTTGCTCATTGGCTCATTTATTGTCAGTGGCCATCTTTGCACTGTTCCTTTTTTTGGATTCCCCATCCTGTATTTCTCCCCCTAAAGCCTTTACAATGGCAAGATGGCATGATAGAGAGAGAGAGACTGGCTACCTCTTGTTATGAACAATACCCTTCTAGAGTGCTTGGAATAGACCTATAAAAGGCCTTCTAGGAAAGTGTCACCCAGTCCTTCTTTATGTGCTTATCTTTTTTTTTCTGGAAAGTTCTCTTTTAATTATTTAGTTGCTAACGACAAATGAGCCCCCATATAAACAGTCACATTCCCTGCTTCAGCCCCAGCACCCAAGCTGTTGTTGGACCAAATAATACTTGTAGTTGTTTGTGTCAACTTACATGCTCAATATAATAAGTTAATTAATTAAAACAGAATGCCTTTCAAGGAAATCTGTGTTTTGAAGAGTATGCCTCCAAAGACATCAGAACGATTTAGAAATAGCAGCGATTCAGAAAACACTTAATGTAGTCACATTAAATTGTCCTCAGTGTGATAGAAGGCAGAAAATCAGAAAGAAAAAATTCCTAGACGAAGGAGTATCTAATAAACCTCTAAATAGCTTGCAGCTGTGTGGCATGTGGTACGACTGGATAAACAACTTAACCAGCACATTTGGTTGGAGAATTCTGGCTATAATTGTACTTCACATTTCTTTCTGTGGTCAGACACAAGGTACAAATCTTAGGAGTGCTTCTGAATGACCAGGACATTTTAGATTATGGACATTCCTCATTAATTTGAGGTCTATAAATATAGACTTTACAAATCTAAAACTGATTTAGTTTTTCAAGTAGGACTGGTTTCTGAGAATAAATATTAAGTGAAATGAAGGAAATATAAACTAAATTTTAAAAAATTAAAATTTATGACTTAAGGTCTGGTTGTACTTTGTAATTTGGTTTAAAGGAAAGAATGGACTCTTCAACTTTATTAATTAAATTATGTTTGTGTGTTTGAATGGTGCTTTGAAAGTACATTTTTTATTTATTAACTAAACAGCCCTTCGAGGCCATTATGCAAGAGACTATAAATTTAAAAGATTAACAGGATTGATATAAACTCAATTATTTGCACTTCTTTTATATACACCTAAAATATAAAGGCATGACTCACTTAAAAATTATATTTCTGGAAAGTTTTGCAATTCCAGACAAAAAAAGAATTATCCTGAAGTACTTAATTTATAGAACTGATATGTCAAAGTGAAATTGTTCTGAGGCTTGCTGTTCCCTGGTAAGTGAGTGGAAGTCACTGCCTGACACTGCTGTCAGCACAGGGACACTGCTGAAACAAAGTTTCTGTTTTTATAACTAAAATTTTAATGTGGAGACTATTATAAGCAGGAGTTTAGAAATGTATTTTCATGTTTCTCCTAGTTCTTTATTTAAAAAGTTACATATATTTTTAATTTCATGGGGTTGTCAGGTAACATACTTTTTGATGAATATGAAAGGAATTTCATAAATAAGTGGTTGAACAAATAAAATCTGAAAATCTAAGTAATGTTAGTGAAAGTCAGTGACAGATATAACCAATGTAATTTCTATATAATACTCTAAATACAGAAGATAACCTCAAATCCCTATGTGACACAAGACATAGTTCCCTTACCACAAAAATTGTAGCTTCCAGGTTTTTCTCTTCTAAGGAAAATAATGTCCAACAATTGGGAATTGCTTGAATAAACTGTGATTCAACCACATAATGGAATACTATTCAACTATTTGAGATATGTAGTAAATCTGTGTTTGATGTAGCAGTTCTTCAATTTATGTCGTTTGGTAAAAAAACAACAATGACTCAGATTTCAAATATTTTACATATAGAATTCTATTTTGGAGGAAAATTTTTGTCTTTACGCATAGCAAATTTTTGAAAAATATACATCAAAATTGTATAATAGATATCCTTCATAATCAAATAAAACAAGCTATTTCTATTTCAGAAATTATAAACAAAAACCTCAAGGCACTTATAACATCTCATTTAATAGTCACAGATGTTGTGATATACAATTAGGGCTTTTGTTTTTAAAGAGATGAGGTACACATATCATAATGTGAAAAATTTCAAGATACTGTCTTTGTCTTTCCAATCCTCCTACATCCCCTTTCATGCTCCTGACCAAACTGACAAGTACCCTTCTTGCTCTTAAGGAATGTATAGGGAAACAGGAATGATACTTTATTTGAATGGATGTACATAGATACTACCCTGAAAATAAATGTCATTATATCATTGCACACCAACAAGACCCTGGATAATATTATAATGCATATTTTTATGAATGGAGAAAATGTCTCAAAAACTCTAACTACCTTCTCCATTATCAGTCAAAATTATCTGAAAACTAGAAATGCAAACTCAAAAATCTATGATCTTTGCAGTGTACTAGGAAGCACTGCAAAGCATTTCAAATTGCTATCATACTTTACTAGGTATCATGCAAATTCATGCAATATGCCAGAATTATATAGGCATATTGCTCTAGACATTATAGTCTATATAAACTAATACACATTTACTTCATTTAAACAGCGTTATAAAGGTAAAAAATAATGAATATTGTACATTGAATTTTACAAATAGATTACTATTAAATGAGACAGTAAAAAAGCTGTAAGTTAAAGTGTTCATTTTAAATCTGTTCTAATTATGTACCAAGATAATTCATTTATTTAGAAGACTGTATCTATGCTGTTAGTTAAATATATTCTACTTACTTTCTTTGGTCTAAAATATTGACCAGAATGGGGTTTATTTCAAACCTTGATAGTATAGGACTTGGCCAAGCCATAATCATGAATTCAGAAAAATTTGTCTTCAGAACCCATTCATTTTCCTTTAGCCTTCAAATTTTATTTCCTAGACATAGGGATGTATATCTACTTCCTCCACAGGAAGGTTGGTTCTGACCATGAAATTATCATTAAAGTATATCACTTGGCAGTTCTATATCATTGGCCCAGATGTCATTACAAATTTTGACAATTTAAAATTAGTTATCCTGTCTTAATAGTGTTTGATTTTCCATCATGTTGCTTCAGGATATTGCATGGAAATAAGCCACTGAAACATTTCATAAACACCCTGGTAACATTTTACAAAATATTTTCTACTTTTAACATAAATTACATGGAGGTGTGTCATTAATTAGGAAAATGTCTAAGTAATTATCAGCAATAGTTCACATTCCATATACAGGAGGAAGCTGAAGCACAAACATCATTACTCAAGGATCAAAAGCTAAAAAGTAACAGACCCAGAATTAGAAATTAGATTTCCTAAATCTTCACCTACTTCTTCCTTCCCCTGGCTTCATTTCCACCCTATGGCAATGCTGCATCTGCTCAGTTGGGCCAGAGAAGACAAGTGGCTACAATTAGTCCTCCAGGGTAGGTTGTCTGCTGTCTGTGGGATGCTCAGAACACAGCAGTTGCTGAATCCACTCTAATTAACAAGACAGTTCTAAATGTGTACTAAGGATGTGCCTCATGCTATAGGTTGTATCCAAAGCCATTGTTTAATTGAGTGGTTATGGCAATCTTTCTAAATCATTGCAAATTATTAAGCAGCCTGTGGTACAATTGGGACCAGAAAGGCTCAGGTGTAGTAAATGATTTTCCTTTGAGAGAGTCATTTCTTCATATTATGGGAGTAATTCATTAGGGAAATAAGAGAAATTTCATTTGTAGCAATGAAGCATATCGAAAAAAATCTCTTATACATAAAATCCTTTGCTTCTTGTCTGAATCAAAGCAGAAACCAAAGATTCATTTCCCCAAAAGTTATCAAAACTATGTAAATTCATTTTTAAAAATTGTTCTTTGAGTCATTATTTATATTGTGACAGAAAAACAGCAATTATTTTCCATGAAGCACTTTAAATTTCAATTTGCAGTGTATTTATTAATTCAAACTTCATCCTTAAATAAAATACAAAAAAAGGAATAAGCCAATTTAAAAAACTGAAAGGAAAACTTAGAAAATATGCTATTATTGGTGTTTAGAGAAATATAAGACAAAAGGTTTAAAATCCAGGCAATTCATGAAACAGAAGCATTAAAAAAGTAAATAAGATATCAGGAATAAGTCTGTAGTTACTGAACTACAGTAATAAGCCACAGATGAGAACATCAAGAATTTAGGGTTACCTTGCTCTAGTTGTCCTGCGAGCCTCATGGCTTGAATAAAACTGATGACAGCCTCCCTTTCCTTCCTTTTCCTACACTTCAAGCCCACATACATCATGTCAGTCATATTTTAGTTTGTATACATAATTTTGAAGCATGGTATTTTTTGCTGTACATTAGTTCATTGATACTTTTTTCTGAGTAATGATTATAAATGATTATCCCCCAAATTCCAGCTGCATACTTTTGGTTATTCTATTACTTCAGGAAATAACTCCCTCCCTCCCTCCCTCCCTCCTTCCTTCCTTCCTTCCTTCCTTCTTGTATTTTTTCCAGTACCATCCATTCCCATCCCCCCCACAATTGCCACACTGTTGTCCATGAGTCCTTTTTCATTTTTGCTCAACCCTTCATCCTGTAATGTACCCCCCACCCATAGCTGTCATCCTGCTGTCTATGAGTCGGTCTCTATTTAGCTTGTTAGTTCAGTTTGTTCATTAGATTCCACATATGAGTGAAATCATGTGGTATTTGTTAATGTTAGTGAATAAATTTCATTCAAAAGCATTGTTTGTTAAAATCTATTGTGTAAGAAGTGGTATGAAAATATAGTACAATTTAAAGGGATCTCAGAATGGACAGTAATTTAAATCTCCAAAAGAAGAAAGACCAAAAATTTACATTTTCCATGCCTATATTTTAAAAAAGTAACATCTAACATCTGGGAGTCATGATTAGGCATTAAACTGAGGCAAACACATGTCAAGAATCTCACAGGAATTTCATTACTCAGATTTGCTATTACATCATTTCAATTGGAATCCTTTACTTCTCCATTTTGTAATAATATCTCTTCAAGAACCTGCCCATGGGTGAAAATACGACCTAGAATTTGCATCACTCTGAAAAAACAGATGCAGAAAGGGGCACGTGCCTGCGAGGCTCTCTGCGCATCACCCACATGAAATGCACTAGGCAAGGAGAAAGTAGGTTGTTTTAAAACGTGCAAGTCTCATTTTTTCTTTAAATATAGATTTTCCTGAAAAATCTTTCAGAGCTGAAAACAATTAATTATGGCCTAAGTCTTGGAAAATGTTCTGAAGACTGGACAATGTAGTTTAGTACTTAATGTAAAACTGTGAAATGTGACATGAAATACATAACTCATACAAATATAGAACAAGCACATGTCTAATTTTTATTGAACTCACTAATGAGGGAACTAGCAAGGCAATAAAATTGGTTCAAAGAGTATTTGAAGATCTGAACATTTCTAAAAAATGAGGAAAGAAAGTCAGAATAAGATTACTGGGCAAGACATAAAACAACATAATATTCTGTAATCAATAAAACTATAACATTTGTGGCTAACTTTCCTACCAGGAAAAACTCATTTGTATATCTACTAAATGAAAATCTATAAATTAACATGAAACTTCATAGTCTGGGCCTTAATCAGTAGTTAACCATCAAATAAATGAAGCTTCATGAATTTTTGAGTGGTCCTGTGGACAACACTCCAATATAACATTGAAAGAACCTTTGTCTTATGAGTTTTGGATAATTTTTCTTAACAATATATTTTGTCTTACAAGTTTTGGACACTTTTTCTTAACAATATTTAGAATGATGATATTCGGGGTCTAGCAGAGTCTATAAAGATGATGTTTATCAGAGAAAACAGACCTATAGTCACTTGTTAATTTACACTTGTTAACCGCTTGAGTTGTTTTGTGTTTTATAAGAAAAGAAACCTATAAAATTGCTCTAAGGCAATTCAACTGAAGACATTCTACTTTTGAAATAAAAGTGTTTAAAGGCTCTGAATCATAAAAAAATCTTAGTATGTTTAGAAGGCAGCGAAGGCTTCAATGTGAGCAGAGTTTAGACTGCATGTATAATTTAGGAAGCTGGGCTAGAATTGTAGAGGTTATGCAGGGGTTGTAATAAAGAATGTGGACCCTTTCCTGAAGGCAATAGAGAGCCTAAGAAGGTTCACAAAGCAAAAGTGAAACCATCATCCTGGTTTTAAGGAAGATTCTGGTAAGTTCTTTTCACATACAACATATTTTATTGACTTTTTAATATTTATCTTTTCTCTAGTTTCTCTGTGGCATTGATAACATGGCTTTAGTTGTATAAAATGGTGTGTTGAGGATTGCTATACCCAATGTGTTTGTTGTCTTTTCATTTTCTTGATGGTCTCTTTAAAAGAAGAAATATTTTCAATATTGAATCCTGATTTGTTGATTTATTCTTTGGTTGCCTGTGCATTAGGTGTCATATCTAAGAAAATATTCACTCATCCAAGTTCATGAAGCTTTATACCTATGTTTGATTCTAAGAGTCTTATAGTTGTAGAAATTGTATTTATGACTTATTTTAATTTTTTATATAATATGTAGAAGGGGTCTCATTTCTGTTTTTTTGCTAGTGGATATCTAGTTGCTGTAGCACAATTTGCTGAAAGACTATATGTATTGAATTGTTATAGTATCCTTGTCAAAAATCAATTCACCATAATATAAGGTTCATATTTGGGCTTTCATTTCTATTCCATTGATCTGTGTGTATATCCTCATGCCAGTCCCACAAAGTCTAGATTAATCTAGCTTTTTGATAAATTATAGAATGAAAACATGTGGGCTTTCCTTTTGTTTTTCTTTAAAAGATGTTTTCAGCTACTCTCAGTGCCTTATACATCCATATGAATTTTAGCACTATCTTGTCAACTTCTGCAAAAAAAAGGCACTTGGTATTTTAATAGGAACTATATTAAATCTGTGGGTCAATGTAGGGAATATTATCATTTTAACAATATTAAGTCTTATAATCTATTAATACAGGAAATATTTTTATTTCTTTAAGCCTTTTCAAATTTCATTCAGTTATGTTTTATAGTTTTTAGTTTACAAATCTTACACTTCTTTTGTCAAATTTATTTCCAAGTATTTTATTTTTGATGCTATATTAAATGCAATTATTTTAATTTTTTTCTTCTTTATTGATTTCATTGGAGTGACATTGGTTAATAAAGTTATTGACCAATGGGTTTCAGGTGTACAATTCCATAATCCATAATCTGTATATTGTATTATGTGTTCACCACTCCAAGTCACGTCTCCTTCCATCACCATTTATCCCCTTTGACCCTCTTCTACCTCCTACCACCTTTCTTTCCCTCTGGTAATCACCATACTGTTGCCTGTGTCCATGAGGTTTTTTGTTTGTTTGTTTAATTTTGAGATTGTTTGTTAGTATAAGACACAGAATTATTTTTTTGTATATTGATCTTTTATACTACAATATGGCTGAACTTGTTTATTAACTTTAATAGTTTTTTACTGGACTTCTTGAGGTTTCATATGTACAAGATTACATTACCTGAAAATGAAAGAATTTTGTTTTTTTCCTTTCTAATATGGATGCCATATTTTTCTTATTCTTGTCTAATTGCCCTTGCTAGAACCTCAGAAATAATGGTGAATAGAAGTGGTGAGAACAGACATCCTTATCTTGCTTCTGATCCTAGGAAGAAAACCATCAAGTATGATGTTAGCTATGAGATTTTTGTGTATGTGCTTTATCAGGTTGAAGTTCTCTTCCATGTTTAGTTTGTTGGATCTTTTTATTGGGAAAGAATATTGGATTTTGTGAAATGCTTTGCCTGTGTTTCTTGAGATAATTATGTTATTTTTGCCTCTTATTCCATTAACATGATGTACCACATGCATTGATTTTTAGGTGTTAAACTAACCTAGATTTTTGGGACAAACCCCAGTTTTTCTTAACATTGTTATGTTGTTAGATCTGATTTAATAGTATTTTGTTAATGATATTTTTTGGTGTATATTCCTAAAGAATATTGGTCTGTAGTCTTTTCTTTTATTGTCCTTGGTTTTGGTATCATGGCAATACTGATATTGTACAATGAGTTTTGCTGTATTCCTTCCTCTTTTTGTAAAATCATTTGCAATGAATTGGTATTACTCCTTCTTTAATGTTCTATAGCTTTCACCAGTGATGTGATCTTGTCCTATGCTTTCTTTGTGAGATTTTTTTATTACTAATTCAATCTCTTTACTTGTTATAGATATATTCAGATACTCTACATCCTTTCTCCAAGTAGAGAATACCAATATAAATATAGATATTATAAGAAAAGAACCAAATGTATATTCTGGTACCAAAAAGTACAACAATTAAAATAAAAGAAATTGACGAGAATGCTCAACAGCAAGTTTGAGCAGGCAGAAGAATCAGTGAACTTAATGATCATTCAATTGAAGTCATCCAGCCTGAGGAACAGAAAAATAATGAACATAACCTCAGAGACCTGTAGAATATTACCAAGCACATCAACATATGTCTAAATAAATGCTAGCAGGACAGGAGAAAGAAAAAAAAAGAATTTTGGAGAAAACATGACTTAAATCTACCCAAGTGTTAAAAACAAAACAAAAACAAAAAATCACTATACATTAAGGAACTCAACAAACTCCAAACAGGATAAAATTAAGAACATACACACCTTAATACATCAAATTTTTCAAAGTCAGAGACAAAAATGAATTCCTTAAGGTGGCAAGGGAGATGTGGTTCATTTCATACAAGAAATACCCGATATGACTAACCTCATTTCTCATTAGAAACTGTGAAGGCCAGAAAGCAGATGAGTGACATATTCAAAATGCTGAAAGAAAAAAAGAGTGCAAGCTAGGAATCTCATATCCAATAAAATTATCCTGCAAAATGAGACATAATTTCCAAACTTCCTTAGTTCTGTAAACGTGCTTTCTTTTTGTTCTTTGAGCATATTTTAAAAAGTTGATTTTAAGTCTTTGTCTAGTTAGTCTAACATCTGAACTTCCTAAGAGAGATTTTTTATTGATTACCTTTTTCACGTTATGGGCCAAATTCCTTCATTCTTTGCATGTCTCATAAATTTCTGTTCAATGCTTGACATTTTAAATAATATAATGTGGCATTGATGAAATCAGAATCTCCCCCTTTCACAGGGTTTATTGCTATTGCTGTTTGTTGTTTTTGAAGTGACTTTTCTGACCTACTTCCATAAAGCCTATATTTTTTGTTATGTTTGGCCACTGAAATGTCTGCTCACATAGGTTAGTGGTCAGCTAATAAGAAGACAGACATTTCTCCCAATGCCTGTAATCAATGAGTCTCCTCACCTTTGACAAAGGGCTCTGTGTGCATGTTGGAGTGTGCCTTCATTATTGAGCCAGGCAGTTGAGAACACTGCCTTAGCTTTCACTTCCAGCTTCTGCAGAATCTTAAGGTCAGCCAATCATGAGAACATAAGGGCTTTTGGGGGTTTTCTTAAGAATGCACACAGCCCTGGGTATGTGCACAGCTTTCTAGAATAACAAGGATAGGTTGAAACTTATCAAAGCCCTATAGACATCTCATCTCCCAACTTTTCCTTTTAAGTTTTTGGTTAGCCTATTATTTGCTCCAGCTGTTATCCACGACTCAGGTTTTGTATAACTGCTTTCTACAAAATCCCCAGAGAAAAGACTTTTCACACTGATGGAGCTCCAAGTCAGGTCAAATAAAGACAACCTTGCAAGAAGTGTCTTCTAGAAAACCACTATACAGATCAAATAATAATATTTCTCTGGGAATGGGACTTAGAAGGAGCTCCAACTGTGTCCTACTCCCTCCAATGCTGCCGGACTACAGGTTTTCACTGTGATTATGAGCTGCTAGTTTTCGTGGCTACCACTAAGCTGGGGTGTGAGAATGAAAACAGGGCAAGCTAAAATGCCACAAAACTTGATGTTCTTACTATGAATCACTTTGTTTTCTTAAATACATACTTCCTGAATTGCTGAGAGCCTTCAGTTAATGTCCAGTTTTAAAAAAGTTGATTCTGATCATTTTTGTCAGTTTTCTGTTTGACAGGTTTTGTTTTGTTTTGTTTTTTGCTGATGTCATCTGATGAGAGATTTTTAAGAGAAAAAGCAGGTAAGGGATAAAGAAGGGTACAAGAAGGTAAAAATACGAGGAAGACAAAACTGGAAATTTTCAAGCAGCCGGAAGTACATGAATGTCACTCCTCCATACAAAAAGTTATAATTGCTTCTTAATCCCAACCCTACTAGCAGAATTTCATGACCTAAATATTTTATCCCGTGTTAAGCTTACAATTTTACAGTTCTCTATTTTTTCTGTGTGTAGACACTCTTCTGGTTAGGCAAGCCACCTGCCCATATTCTACCTTGCTGCTCCACTTTCCATTCGCACCCATGCTGCAGGTCATTGCTTTGGTCTAAGGCACTGCTGGAGACCTGTGCTGGTGCTGCCACTGTGCTGAAGTGGAAGGGAGATAAGGATCTGAGAGATCCTCTGTGACAAGCCAGAGCAGAGACAGATTATGATATGGCCCACATTTGGGTTGGTGATTTCAAATCCCCAAATATTTTTATTTTCCTATAGGGATGGAATAAAATGTTTTCCCAGTTTGTTCAGATGACATACAGGCCAGAATGACCATTAGGATCAGTCAGAAAGGTCAAGTACAGCAATGTTAATCTAGCATTGGTGCTTTATGAATCAGTGAAGTTAGTGACAAGAGAACATTGTGACCAGTATTCTCACTGTGTCTTGGGTACTCTGTCTAAGGGGAAGGTGCCTTGACTGGAAGATTGCAGATGCTGTCTATAGGAATAAGGAGTCAATGAGAAACTGAAAGAAAGCCATTAAGAACTGAAAGAAAGAATAGGTTTAAAGAGTAAGCAGCAAAGTTAAATGTGGTTCAGTAGTTTCTGCATCATTGTTGAATCAGAGACTGATGCCAACTGCAAGCCAAAAGACCTCTCTCGTAGCTGTCTGATTCATACTGTAAGTAGTTATAGTTGTGTTTAAATGATAGTTTTACAAAATGGGATATTAACCCATGTCATTTTGGCTAATTTGGTTGTTTCCAAAGTCCTTAGTTAAAAAAAGAATTACCCTCTTTATAAGAAAGCAGGCGTATCAAAACCTGAGTATCTTTAATTGACCATTGCCACAGTTTAACTAGCTGATCAACAAATCTGCTGCATTAGATTTACTTGGGAATTGTCTATCTTCATTCTATCACATTGATTCTCAATCTTAATAATTTAGATATTGTAGGGAACCACATTTAAATTGTCCTTGTAACTGAGATTTTTCCTATTTTATTGAAAAGTAGGTAAAGATTTAATTGATATCTAACAGGAAGTTCCTCTGATTTCATTGCATAAATATGGCATTTATATGTACACAAGTTGAATCTATTGTAGAAAATACCAATCACTCATTCAGTAGTTTAAATCAAAGATTACAAATTATGTATTCTTTAAAAATACTAAAAATATCAAACACTAAAAATAAATAGAAGCAAATTTCTGCTTTTAAACTCTTATGAAAATGTATTTTTAAGGAAGTATGCAAATTTGAGTACTTTATCAATGAAAATGAACTGTATTAACAGGTATATAGTTTCTGGTTATGGTGATGAAAAAATTTTTGAATTAGATAGTTATCATGGTTATATAACATTGTGACTATTATTACAGCCGCTGCATTGTACATTTAAAAGTAGTAAATGTATGCAAACATCAAATCACTACACTTTACACCTGAAACTAAAATTTAATACTGTATGCCAACTATGCTTTAATTAAGCATAAAAAGTTTTCTTTAAAAAAGAAAATAAACTACATGTAATGTCATGACAACAGAGTTTATTAAGAAGCCAAAATCTAGCAACCTTAAAAAATGATAGGATAAAGATTTGTCTGAAGTCCACATAATTTGACATGCTACTAGATCTTATTTTCCATATACTAGGCAACTGTTCATGAATGAATTTTTTCTTTTTCCTTGAAAAACAGAAAGTTGTCAGAGGCAATATATTAATTGAATTGCATTTTTTCTTGTTTCTGATTAATCTTACAAACTCAAAAAAGGAAAGAGTTGAGATTACTCTTCATGCTAAATTGATAACTTTAAGTCAATGGTATTATTTGAACATGGATTTTAATCTCTGGATGAAGAAACAATAAAATAAACCTTTCACTATCTAATGATGGGAAGCAAATTATCATAGTAGGTCACAGCACTGTATATATTTAGGAAAAATATTCTTAACACAATAAATTAGAAATGTTATTTTTGAGAAACTGTCATGTAGGTATTAACATTTTTTCAATTGTCAATCATTTAAACTACTCCTAAATGCAAATCTGGTCACTTTTCATGAACTTGGCATAGTTGTACAAAACTGAGGCCGTGTCTCTCCTGAATCCTTCAAAAATTCACAAACAGCTGGAAAGTAGGCTGAGATACAACACTAACAAAAAAGTGAGATTTTTAAATTAAATTATTTTGTGTAGAAAACACTATTTTCTACATAATTAATAGCTGTAATGTTATCTGCTACATATCCAAAGTGAGTAGAAAGACAAGTTTCCTTCGAGAGCCCCCAGCCAAAATATCAGTAGATGGCTTGGCCATGTGACATCCTCTGAGGCAGTTCTGAAACTGAGTACACAACTGCCTGTGTAGCTCACCAAAAGGCCAGATGTTGCTACTGGAATATTCCAAAGGTTGGCATCTGGGTCTTGGCAAACCCTGGAGATAGCTTTGGGTCTTGTGCCTATTGCTAAAATGGGAAATAAAAGAAAGTTCCACAGTTGGTAGTCTAAATGATCCTGAAGACATACATGGGAATGAAAAGTAATTCAAAGTAACACAGCTTTTAGTAATTATTGGTTTTTCTTTATTTTTTATAAACATTTTAAATACATGTGGTTTCTTTTTTTTTTAAGATTTTATTTATTTATTTTTAGAGAGGGAAGGGAGGAAGATAGAGAGAGAGAGAGAGAAACATCAATGTGCGGTTGCTGGGGGTTATGGCCTGCAACCCAGGCATGTACCCTGGCTGGGAATCGAACCTGTGACACTGGTTTACAGCCCGCGCTCAATCCACTGAGCTACGCCAGCCAGGGCTTAATTATTGTTTTTTCTATATTAACTAAATATGCTGAGAGAATGTCAGAATGGTTTCAAGGCTCAAGATAAAGATTTTTCTTTGATTTTAAGCATGTTCAAAGTTAACTATCAGCCCACTGAATTGCTTTCCAGTAGCAGAGAATGAACAACACACCTACCAGTAGTAACAAAAACAGAAGGAAGGCAGCCCAGAGTCTTACTCTCAGAGTTCACATACTTTTAGATTGCTTTGAACTATTCTTCTCATTTACATAAAATTTAAGGTTTGAAACCATAATATGGTTGTTGGAATAAAAATGAACTGCTTTATGGATATGATTTTGTAAAGTTGTTTTCTTGCAGATTTATAGGTAGATGCTGTAAAGTAGCATGGTGATAACAAGAACCTTGAACATCCGTACATTGAACTCATTAATTCTATTCTCAGGAATCTGTCCAAAAAATTAGTTAGATATGAACAGAGATTTATTGGTAAGGATGTTCATTGTGGAGGTAAATAGTTAAATACTCATACAAATATCCAATTATAGGGGATGTCACACATAATAAAGTATTCTGCGGCAGTAAAATAAATGTTAAGACTGCTTAATGGAATAGAAAAATGCTATTAAAGAGACAAACTATACAAACAATTGGACCCGAATTGAAATAATCAGGTGTGTACTGGTTTAATACTACAAAACATACAGG